TTTTTTTTTTTTTTTTTTTTTTTTTTTTTTTTTTTGCGACCTTAACGACCAGTGATCTTCAAATATTTAACGTACATTACTGCTGATCTCTACAGTTATTTTATTTTTTTATTTATCTTTTTCTTCTTTCACTTATTTTGTTCAAATGTTTAATTTTAGCCTTCTGAAAAATTTTTCTAGAATTTTAAATTTATTTAGTTTTTAAAGTAATCGGTAATTTTTTCAACTGACTAGCTCATAAAATGAGCAAAATCCTGAATGGGTCTTTCAACCAAATCTTTTTAATATTGTTCAATGCCTGTTTAATCTGAGATTTTCTGAAATTACTATTTATTGCACTTACAGATTCATATGAATTTAACTGTAAAAAAGGGCAAAAAAACGGCGAAAGAGAAAGCAGAAAAAAAAGAAATAGAGAAAAATGTTATTATAAAACAGTGCTAAAGTGTCATTTCAGAATCTAAAATTTTTTACATCTCTTTTACCAACTGCTTAAATACCTTTTTCTGGTTTTATTTTTCAAAAACTAATCAATCAAATATGTTATTCTACTTTTTTTTTTTTTAAACTATAAATGATTTCTTTTTAATGAGCTAAAATATCTAAACCAATCCGCTCTAACCACGGAGAGGATTAATGCCATTTTCTACCGTTGGTTTATTTTACAAATTTTCAAACAAATAGGTTCATTTTTTTCTTTTGGTAATTAGGTTCTTTTCAAAACAGGAAAGAAGTAAGATTTTTTGACAGGTTTAGCAATCTGTCATCAGTCAAAACAGATTGCAGAAAGTAAAACAGAGGAAAGGTACGAAAGACAGGTTAAAATCAGGAAAGGTGAAAAGGGGGTTCTGTGATCAGTTTAACTGCTTATTAATATTTAAGGAAGTTTTTTTTATTAATCATAAAAATCAAAGACTGTTTAAAAATGTAGAACGTTTCCAATATTTGTTTAAAAAAAGCTATTATTTATTACGTGAAATAATCTTAGTTTAAATGTCAATAAATTTAAGATGAATGAAAAATTTGGAAGAGAAAATGAAGCTGTTTCTATGAATGTACCCAAAATAAAAAATAAAAACTCGTTTAGGAGTCGTATTTGGAGAGAAGAAAGTTTGTTTTTACAAAACTAAAGTTTAAAACGAAACAAATTTCTTGTACTGATTTTCAGTGGTTCTACGATCACGTCAAATGTGCGCGCAGAATCTGTTGTTACACTTAGTAGTAATTAATTAATGAAACTGTGAGAGAAATCTTTGCAAAAGATTTTGTTCTGAAACGCACTCAATTAATTAATTTTACTAGATGTCAATTTCGATTAAAATAAAAATTATTATTTTTGTGAGTAGACTTGTAGTTGCTTCTTATTACGCAAAAATCATTGAAGAAGATCAGAGCAGAAGGTATAAAATGTGTAAATAAACGACCTTTATAATTTGGGAAGTATTGCTGAAATTTTTAGGAATTTAAAAAATGCTCTTTTTTTGCAATTTTTTGTATCAAGTAGCCATTCTGAAAACAGTGTATTTTGATTATTACTGTAATAAGTAAACCATTACATAAAGCAACCCTTCTATAACTATTCAAATGAGTTTGATAAATAAAAATTGTTCTTACTAACATTGGCTAGTTTTTCTGCTCAGGCGAATAAAGAAATTTCTTGGAAAACGAAGGGTAATTGTGGTAAAAGAATCCATTCTTGGGAAAATTTTCTAACTCTTTTATGACCAAAAGATTTCCTAGTTTGTTTAGCGATTTTTCAGAGTCAGTGGTGAGGGGAATAGTGGCTCAGACCACTCGTAGAGAACGGAAAAAGTACTTTAGGTTCACTCGGCAGGTCACCAAAAACGATTTCTCAGATATGGGTAAAAAGCTGGATAAGTAATTAACCAGCAGACAGTAGAAATTACCTTTAATTTGCATAAAAAATATTTTTGCATCAGATCATTTTTGCTGACTGCTGTAAGTAGCCACCTGAAAGCTGTAAATAGTTTTCTTTCTCACTGTATCAGGCGATATGAATTGACAGTGCGCTATTTTTAAGCTTTGCAAACGACACCTTAATTAATAAGAGCTTCAATGTAATCAAAAAAGCACTCTCTTTTAAAATAAGATTTAGAATAGAAAAACTTTCAGTAGAACTCTTTAAAAATCTCAGCTGTATTCTGAGTGGTGAGATAAGCTTTCTCTTTTTGATTTAAAAATTTGTCTTAATTAGTAAAAACCTAGTCATCTTATGCTGCTTTCTGTTTGAATTTACTGCCAGAAAACTATAATTGATATAAAAAATAAAGCATTTTCTTCCTTTTTTTTTTTTGAAAACTATTTTTCACTGAAGACTGAGGAGCGAACAGATATGGATAAATATTTCTGTATTATATCAGAACAAGAAGAAATCAGAAGCAGTTGAGGTTTAACCCTGTTTTTTTTTTTATCATTTATGTCACTCTTGTAAAACAGTTCAAAAAGAAGTAAAGAATTATAAGAAATAAAGTTATTATTCTTCTTCTTAGCCATTGATGCCTATTCCGCTTGCTCTTTATTTACAGTTTGAGTTTTATACTAGCCGTTTTAATACTGGTTGATTTTGTAGTGACTTTCAAAAAAAAAAAACTGAAGTCGTTTGTTCACAAGTTTGTAGATGCTATTTGGCTACAAATGTTATCAATATTTATTTTTTAAGAGACTTACAATAAAAAAGTTTACAGCAAAGCCATTAGAAATGTTTTTGTTATCTGCCAGCAAAGATCTTTTCATTTTTTCAACTTTGCCTACGTTTAAAATCTAATGAGATTTTACTTATATTAAGTCTTATTGTACTTCTTACAGTTTTTTGATACCAACCTTTGTATTGTTATGGCGTACCACGTGAACAATAGATTTTAAGTTGTCACCAAGTGAATTTCCTGCTTTTATTCTTTCGGTATTTATTTGGTTCACTATTTTTAACATGCACAGTCTTCTCTTTTTGCTAAAGTCTTCTATTATTATTATTATTATTCATGTTCTTCTGCTAGATTTCTTAAATAATACAAACTTTTTGCTAATAAATTTAAAAACTTTTATTAATTTTATTTTAATAATTAAAATTCTCTGAATCTTGTTGATAAAGTTTATTGAGGAAACTGTTCTAAAAGATTCTTCCAAAATCATAGCATACTCTGTGACGTAATTTCTTTTTAATTAAAAGGTACAAAAATGTTCCGGCATCTCAAGACGAAATTTTAATGTAGCGAAACTAATTTTAACAAAATCTAACTTATTTTTCAATGATTAGTGACAAATATATAGACTATCAGTTTAAAAATATAACATAATAAAAAATGAGTATTAAATGTGAATATTGCTAGGATAGCTTTATGACTCTAGAACATGAAATAGCAGAGTGAGGGGCTAATATGTAGTTTCTGGTTGAGAATTATGGTTTCAAAGAATACAACTCGACCAATCTCGACATATGAGTTTCGC